GCTTTTCTTGTTTAGGGTTTAGGGTTTAGGGTTTAGGGCTTAGGGTTTAGGGTTGAGGGTTTAGGGTTGAGGGTTTAGGGTTTAGGGTTTAGGGTTTAGGGACCAGCAGCCTCCTAGCCGCCCAGAAGCAGTGACCGTGGGCGGCGCTCTGTGGGGAAGCTGTAAGCTTTAAGCCTTCAACACTTAGACCCTCGACCTACAACTACCAGACTTTTTTCAAAACCCGTACAGTCCTGAGCTGCCCTAAACTGCGAAACCCTCAACCTGAAACCCTAACGCCCTGAACCCCTAAACCCCATAAAGTGTCAACAGAGTCCCTGGCTAGGAGATGGAGAAGGTTACTGCCAGGAAGTGCCTCAGCTCCTTTCATACTTGTTTCGAAAAGGCTTCCACAAGGGTTCCAGTTGTGGTTCTATAGCGGTTCCCTACGTATTCTGTAGCAGCTGCGTCAGGTTTCGATGAGGGTTCTCTAACAGTTTGCTAGAGGCTCCATTCGTCTACAAGGCTTGTTTTAACCCTTAAACCCTAAACCCTATAAACCCTAAATGAGGCTTCTGCAATGGTTCCATAGCGGTGCTAGACAGCTTCAAGGCTTTTCGCCTGGCCGAAATGCTTAGGAGGCCATCTTTTTGACCCTAGACCCTAAAAGCCCTAAACGCGAGGGCTTATGAGGGGTGTACGATGTCGGAGCTTTAAGGCTTTGGGGCTTTAGGGATTTGCGGTTTGGGGCTTTCGGGTCATGGTAGGGTTCGATGGTTGAGATTGCAGGGACTTTGGGTTTGGGGCTTCGTGCTTTGGTTTTAGCTTTGGGTTTTTTTCTGTAACATCCGACATCCCAAGCTCCAAACCCCGAAGTTCCAACCTACCTCAAACGTCCTCCCACCCACGTAGGCCATAACAATGAGTGGAGTTGTTACTTAGAGAGTCCTGAAGAATCCCCTGATAATTATGCTATCTGGCCCTGCCAAAACCAGCAAATGGGGTGCCCTAAGCCCTAAACCCTAGACCCGAAACCCTAACCCTAAACCCTAAACCCGAAACCCTATACCCGAAAGCCTAAACCCGAAACCCTAAACCCTAAACCCTAAACCCAAAGCCCTAAGCCCTAAGCCCTAAACCCTAAACCCTAAACCCTTAACCCATCCTTCTCCTAAGACTCCTTACCGAGCTGGGGCCTTCGATCGCTGGTCTCAGGCGGCGTTTGCACATCGAGCCCTGTGAAACCATCGTTTTGCATGATCTCGTGGGTTTAGGGTTTAGGGTTTAGGGTTTAGGGTTTAGGGTTTAGGGTTTAGGGATAAATAGAGTAGGGCTTGGGGGCATGTATTATTCTATAGTTCTTATAATAGAAACACCCCAATGTAGTATGGGTAAGTATTTAGGCTCCTATGGTAGAGTGAGGCGGCCGTGTCCACTACCACTCGACTGGCCGGCCACAGGATGAGCCATTCACAATGCAGACAGTGCTGCACCGGTCTTCAGGGACTGAGGAGGCTGGCACTGCTATTGGCGCTTGGGCCTTGCCTAAACATAAAACCCTGAACCCTAAACCAGGTTTAGGGTTTAGGGTTTAAGGTTTAGGGTTTAGGGTTTAGGGTTTAAGGTTTAGGGTTTAGGGTTTATGGTTTAGGGTTCTTGAGTGATATCTGAACGTCGTGCGGCCTTTGTGCTGGTGATCAGATGGGCCAGGGCTCACGGTGCACTCGCGGCAACCTTCCACACATGTTGGAAACTAAGGGGTTTAGGGTTTAGGGTTTAAGCCAACTATGGGACATTCTATGCCTGTTGGAAACTATGGGGAAAAATCGTAAACGGCCTCCGGGAATGGGGTATAAGATAGTAATTTGACAAGGCGAAGAAGTAGACTTTTGGAATAATTTTTGTATTTATCCCTGCAAGAGCTCCAAGCTTTAAGTTGCCCTTGTCATTTTAGATTTTTGTGTAAGATTAAGCTTCAACCCTACATCCAAATGCCGAGCGCCAACTCCACGCCCTAACTTCACATCCCAAGGCCTTAGCCTAGCAATCCCATGGCGGCATTCTAGAACCGCCCTAGATGGTTGGCCGCACACCTGCCTCACTACGTCAATCCACCGGACAAGCTTTCGCACGGCCAGTAGTCCGCAAAAGCTCTCCAGCTGAATCCTAGATCCTGAACCTCCCTTGAGCCAGATTTTTGCCCAAGGTCTCGCGTAGCTTTCCATGCCTTTGACGCAAACAGCTTGAACTACACCCAAACCTAAATATGAACCCCGACCCTAGCCCTCAAACATGAGCTCCAAACCTTAAGTTCTGAACACGAACCCCAAACACTAAACCCTAGATGGCCCTAAACCCTAAACCCTAGATGGCGCTAAACCCCAAACCCTAAACCCTAGATGGCCCTACACCTTAAACCCTAAACCCTAGATGGCCCTGAACCCGAAGCTGCAAACTTAATTCCAACAACTCGCTGACAAGGCCAGCGACCAATTTCCACTTCTCCAAACTTCGACGGCGAGCAGTTTCCTGGCATGACTTACTGCGGGAGTAGAAAGATGACGGTGCTTTAGGTTGAAGCAGTATGGGCGTCTGAATGCCTAGAATCGGTATCTCGTGGTGGTCCTTATCGTAGCAGCCCCACGCCCTGTTCCAATCATTCAGGCTCCTGCTTTCTTTTATGTGTACACTTGATTCGGGGACTTTCCCCAAGAATTTAACCCTAAACCCTACAAGCTGAAAGCACCTAAAAGCACTCAAAGCACTACGCCCTTGTGGACACAGAGGAACCCTAAACCCGAAACCCCAGACCCTAAACCCTAAACCCTAAACCCTAAACCCAAAACCCTAAACCGTTATGGACGCGAGGGTAGGAGCCAAGCAAAGCACCAGAGACGGGAGCCGAAGCCTGGAACTTGGTAGGAAATGGTAGGACATTACAGAAAAGTCTAGAAACTTTCAGTATATCGTAGTATACGACCGTATATGGTAGTATACTAGAGTAGAGTGCTGTATATTACTTGTATATTATATAGTATACTATCGCAACGTTGTATGATAGTGCATTTAGAACGCCCAAAACCCCAAAACACGACTCAACCTGAGCTCGAAGCCATAAGCCCAAGAGCCGCAAGGTCCTCAAGCTGACGCCCTGCAGGACCCTAACGCCTCCTTCCCTAAGATCATGACACTCCCTAAGCCCTGAAGCCTAAGCCCTAAAGCCTAAGCCCTGAAGCCTAAGCCCTAAAGCCTCAGCCCTAAAGCCTCAACCCTGAACCCTAAACCCCAAACCCTAAAGCCTTAAACCCTGAGGCCTAAACCCTAAACCCCTAAAGCCTTCAAAACCTAAGTCCTAGCCCTGACGTCAGAGAGCAAGCCAGGATATGGAGCGCCTTCGAAAGCTCAGGAAGATTGCCCCCTGGCTGCTTTATTGGGTTTAGGGCTGAGGGTTTAGGGTTTAGGGTTTAGGGCGGCGAAGCGTCCGGGCTTTCGATATTCTAGGGCTTGGGGTTTAGGGTTAAGGGCGTTCTATGTCAGTTGCATGACAAGTTCGCGTCAGTTCGGTCACAACGAAGGGTGCTCACTAGTGTAAGTCCTAGTCCTAGTCCTAGTCCTAGTCCTACTACTACTACTACTACTACTACTACTACTACTACTACTACTACTACTACTCCTACTCCTACTCCTACTACAACAACAACAACAACAACTACAACTACTACTACTACTACTACTACGACGACTTC